AGGTTGTGACCGCGTCATACCGGACAAAGAATCTAAACAACTGATATGGCCGACGTTGATGCCTCCACCCAGGGAAACGATGAACACCAGCTCGACCGAGTTGCAACGTGCTATTCTATCACGCCATTAACTGGTCATAAGGCATCACATAATTGGCTACAATACTGCCAAACATACAAGCAGCCCCGCTTTAGACGAAACCCGGCTTGCATCTAGCGAATCCGGCTTTCACGAGTGCCAGTCTGTCTTTTGAGAGCAGACGTAAGCAGTTTAGAGGCAATTGGGATCAGACTGATTCCTCTATGATTGCCGCATTCCGAAAAAGAGTGCCAGGGTTGGGAAGAGCAACACCCAAATATATCCATTCAGGATACGGTCCTCGAGATCGGAATGACCGAGGTTTATCTCAAAGTGAGCCGAGGTCTCAATAGAGGTTGCGAGTCGCAACCCAACCACACAGTGTGCTCCCTAAATTCAGCTTTGAAAGAGTCTCCCTTGAAAATTAAGACTATAAAGGAGCGGCTCCAGTTTGCTGGGACAGAGTCCTGCTCCCACAGCTTTACCGAGGAACCGTACAAATCCGCTACAAGAGCAAGTTCCCTGAATTTGAAGAGGGCTGGGGAAGTCTATCTGACCCCTCGGCTTTATTCAATTGCAACAGTCTGATAACACGTTCGACTACTGTGTGTGAGGGCAATCAGTGCCCGAAAAGTAAAATGGTAACAGGTTGACTAAACTGCTTCTCAAAGTGTTCGGCACAACGCTCCAAGCATTTTGACAAGCTGTAGATCGACTATACACTAGGTCTTCTGCTCGTTACCCGTATTATGCGGAATAACTTACGAGGGTCACCAATGACAGTAACTGCTTCCATCTCCGGCGCACGAGGAGATCACTAGGCCTCGCAGTTTCTCTTCAGACTAACACACAGTTTTGTCCCGAGATCTTTGGGAGTCTTTTGTGTCGTTTCAATTTGGAACACGTCGGAGAGAATCCAAAAGTTTCAGAGACTGAGTCAACACACAATGTCTAGGTTGGCAATTTGATGTGCCAAATGAAGACATGCACGCTGATAGCAACATCTGGTGAAGGTGCATCGAGTATATATACTCTGAATCCAAAAAGGTAGGTCGCCCGCGCACTCAAAGTTTGACAGTTAGTCTCAGAACCCAATCGAATCAAAAGCAGCCCACAAGTGGAACAAAACTACCAAAAGAGTATGTTGGTGAGTACAGTTGTGTTAAAGTGCCAGCAAAAAGTAAAAATAATGCAGATGCACCGCATTTCGGGGCACAAACCAACTTGGTTTTACGGATCCACTTCACACGATGAGCAGCCGCGGCGTGATGCACGTCATCAGTTTAGGCGTAATTGGGATCAGACTGACTTCACGACGTCCACAGATGTCCCTTAGCCCTACCTAAAGAATGGAATGACGGTTAACAATCACCAGTCAGAGGCCATTTCCCGTCCAGCCAGATAGGCAGTAGAGAACAAAACAGCTAAGGTGGCCGTCAGTGGGCTGATGCCGTCATACAGAAGTGAGGGTGAAGGATCTTTAAGACCGGGTGCCTTGTACACCTTCATTACCACCAGTCTGTCATCATTTTAGTGGTGAAAGCTTCTACCTCGACGTTACAAGCAAGTTCAAGTAACTCAAAAAACAATTTTGAAAAACTATACCGACAGAGAGGTGGATGAAAGCCGAGGTGATAGTCTTGGAAATCAAACTTAAGAGCGACGCGTACTTCCGCGACGACAGACACTCGTGATTATGTCTTGCTCTACATCTGACCTCTGTGTGGGAGAAGTAATCATGGCTTGTGTGAGCAGCTGTGGTGCTCAATCCACCTCAGGCGTGGAGAGCTGATCGTGGAAGCAGTTCCCTGAGCCGCTGTTCGGATTTTCTGCCTTATCTTCGAAGCCACATGACTAGTCCCTACTTTCTACTCATGAGTGATTTGAATTGTCCTAGATTACGTTGGTCTAATATCCCACTCATGCCCGGACATACTGAAATCAAGGCAAATTTCGTAGAGTTGGCACTTAAAAATGGACCAGCGCAATACATAGGTAAGCCGACACATACAACGCCGAGGTTCAGTACAGTTGGACAACTATGATCCAAGCATCGAAGTGGGGTGGATTCAGCTGCCACGACTCACATTGCAAGGATAACAATATACACCAACGGAAAGATAGTGGGATTGAATGTAAAAAGAATGTAAAGGAAATGTAAGAAAGAATGAGGTGCGTTAGGTCAAGTAGAATGGAAGGAGGATTAACAACTGGATTGTTACAGGAGGCGGTCCGTAGCAGCCCTCGAGGTTAGCTCTCTTTGAAGCAGCCTGCCTGTAGCTGATTGGCTAGCCAATGAGAGTAAGTCAATGGCATGATTTTACCTTGAAGTGGACCAATGAGAATGACCTGTCTTGAAGTCCTCCAGTAAGCGCACTACTTGAACAGCCAACAAGCGAGTTTTTGCGCATCTAGTAGCTGCTATAGTCAGGAATCTAGAAGCAGGTCATTCTGTTAAGAACTATTTATGCTGACCACATATTTTGGCTGTACATACCGTTTTCCGGGCGCTCTATACAATTAGCGCCAGAGGCCTTTGTCTTCCAATTTGGGAAGTGGCTGGATCGTGACCCGGGTGGCTGCATCGGTTATCCGTACTGTCAGCGGAAACACAACATAGATGCGAGAAACCGAATGTTGGAACGCCACCAACTGGGCAACTGTGCCACATCGGATACAGTCCAAAACCATTAATGTAGACCATCCAGAGGCATCAGCCTGATCAAGTCTCTCAGTCAATTTCTGCATATCTCCTATGCCACATCATGGACTGGTCAACTCACCCACGGTGAGTAATGCACGCCGAAGAAGCCGGTCAAAAGGCATACAGAGGACATGGTCTAGTCAACAGAAGCGATTAGGATTCAGTAAACACGAGTAAGGTACCGGAAGGCCTTTCACCAAAAGCTAACTGGCGGACCTCAGGTTTCCTCACTCGTTAATCTTACCAGGCGTGAACAATACCAGTGGTCAAACACGGTCAAGCGTTTTATGTCTTCGATGCGAACCGCCCAGTTCCCTGATCCATACAGTAAAACCGGTCTTATCACAGCGTTATACACACTAAACCTCACTGACAGGCTTTTACCACGCCGTCTCCATAGATGGTTGTGGAAATCCACACGAACTTTGCTGACACGCGAAGTAATCTTCTCAGTGATTTGACCACCAGAAGTAACACAGCTACCAATGTAACTAAACCGAGCCACCACTTTCAGTGACTGTTCGATGGTAGTTAGAACCGGTGTGTCGATCCAGTCCTGCAACAGTACTTTGCACTTTGAAGGTACAAAGCACTTGCCGAAGCGTGCGGCGCTATGCGTTAGTCTATTCAATAGCGTTTACACAGCCAATACATCACACCCTAAGAGAACTATGTCGTCGGCATACACCAGGTTTGTCAGTCGGTCACCTGGTAAAACTTTCACTCCGTCATCTCGCAGAAATTTCCTTTCAGAAGTCTGAGAAGCAAGTCATTCATGATCATTTCAATCACAAAGTTGAAGAGGAAAACAGATATAGGACAACCCTGGCGAATCCCACTTGTTGTGGGGAACTCAGGAGACAGTTTACCGTAGACCATTACACGGTGTTAACCGCGTTAACCGATGACTTTCTCGGACCATTATTCCGGACTAGACTTGATGTTAATATGTTGTGAGAATGCCTATTACCCCAGACCCTGGAATCAAGCGACCAGATAGTAGCCAGCACGAAAATATATTTGCCCCATACCCGTCCGCTGGAGCCAAATGGGTGGGTTTTGCTGCACCAACCACAAACCCTATATCCAATGTAAACCCACATGAATAAGACAGGGAGGCATGTGGATGGGAGCAAAATTTCATCAACGGAGGCCACCCACACATGCACAGCAAGCAGCTTACCTGTCTGTCTAATTGGGATATCATCTGTGGCAGACGTAGAGAAGGCGGTCGATGGGCCGTGATCCGCTCCACACTGGACGGAACCACTGAGCCTAGTACGGCCACAAGAACCGTGCACCCGGTCTCCACAATCAACGACCAAATGTCTCTTGGAGCCAGTATAATTAAGGTAGCGGTTTTTCGACAGGTAGGCACTTAGTCAAGAGACACGCCAGGTGCAGTCACTTTGGATATATCAAACAGCAACCACAGAACATAGAGGAAAATAAACACGCGGCAGGAAGACAAAGCAGAGCACAACAAGGATGTGCATTAACCCACTGTGCACAGCTTACACTTTGTTGTACCTTACTTCTGTTCCATTACCGAGGAGCCGTATAGACAAAAGTGAAAGAATAGTGAAAGCTTAAACAGGTGTATCGCTGCGTTTTCACTTTAGGGGTAACATACAAGCAAAACGCCGGACATACCAATGATGAAGGGTACCAGCTGACCAATGGTTGCGAAGCACATAGCGCACGATACAGGCACGTTCGCTATACGAACACGCTGCTATAACCTTGGCGCACATCACAAAGCTTTTATGAAATTAAAACCATTACCTTTCGTGCTGTCCCGCAAGGCATGTTGATGTGTTAAATCATTCTTACAGTATGAATGATTCGTTCATGCAGGAGCTGAAGTCGTTGAGATACATGACACTAGTTCACCAGAAACTATGCTGTAAGCTGGGGAAGTATCAGTTGCAGCAACCACTATGCTGCTTTTGTTCGCCTCTCCTCAGAGAAGCGTTGTTGCTCATAACACAGGACGCTAAGCCACCAAATAGCAGCATACACGGTGTTTGTCCGCCCGGAGATAATTGGTTGCACACAAAATTAAAGCAAGCAACAGAAAAGTAATAACACTGACCTTAATGAACGTAAAGAAAAAGAGGCTAATCTGCTATGATACCAGACAACACATTATGCACGTTAGATAGAGGTGGGAAACACAATTGTTGTGTTAGACAACAGCGCGGACCGGGATACTCACATTTCAGGTAGTGCCAATATGCAGGGCGGATGGGTTGGGTACGCTAGAGTAACTTGGTGCCTGTAGTATACATCCGATCAAGGGTTCCGAGGGACTCCGTGTCCAGGGTCGTTGGAGACCGATGGGACTGAAATGAAAAACATACTTCGTAAGCGGCTGGACAGTATCATCACAAACACCTAGTAAGATTCGGAGCTCGATACAGGGTGCGCCTGATTTACACCTCGAGGCGAGCTTGACGGCATTGCCACAGCTGCCGATAAGGAACTGCGCCCGAGCTGACCGGGAGGATAACGTGAAAACACACGAGACACGATCATCGTCATTCATCATTATACACGTCAGCTAGATGTGGGAAACACCTCAGATACAGTGCCGCAATACATAAAGAAAAGGAAAATAAATACAACACCTGCAAGCCAGCAGAGATACCAGCAACAGATCATCATCATCATCATCATCATCATCATCAACAGCAGTACATTAGCCATTTGAACTGACGCTTCGTTGCCATACAACCATGAGGACCTATGAAAAAAAGAATACGAAGAGGGAGAGAAGGGGGACTTACCTGAAAACCTTAATGCCCTAAGCAAACATTCAGGGTCAAGGCGCCTACACCTTGTGTAGACAACTTACCGTCACAAACAGCTGGCTATCGTGCAAAGATAAGGCGGCATCGGCGAGACAGCTTCCTTGCGGCTTTCACTACCCCGCGTCATAATCAGCCATTACCCCGCAGATAACTCAGCACCAAACACACTTTAAACAGGCAGTCCGATTAGAAGACGGCAGCAGACGCGCCACTGGTGTCGGTTACGAGGCATGTCCTGTAAAGTCTCGAGCCAAGCACAAGGCGAGTCACGTGGATTCCAGCCCGTAAGGCGAGACGGACCAACGGCACCCAGTTTGGTCATCAGTGACTTCATTTCCTGCTGCCAAGTCAACTTCTGTCCATCTCGAACCTTGCGTCACCTTTTACCTGGTAGACTGAACAAGGCCCTCCTAGGTAAGCGGTGACCAGGCATGCGTAGCACATGCCCGAGCCAACGCAACTTATTCAGTGCTATCTGTTATTCTAGGGAGCAAGCATGATTATCACCACCTAGTACTCGCCTGCGCACATCATCGTTGCGCACACGCTGGTGCCATCCGACACCAGCAATGCTTCACAAACAACGATGACCAAAGACTTGAAGGCGCCTCAGATCTTCAGACTGAAGGGGCCAAGTTTCACTACCATAGAGCAGAACGGCCCTCACTGTGGCCTTGTATACACGGCCTTTCAGACGGACAGAAACTCCCTTCTGTCGCCAAAGATGCTGCAGGTGCAAGAAGATAGCTCTGGCCTTTGCAATGCGTGAGCTGACGTCAATTTCTATGCGCCCATCATTGCTGATGCAGCTGCCAAGATAAGTGAATTGATCAACCACCTCGAGTTCCTCGTTAGCAAGCGTCAAGGGGGTCATAAAGTGGCTGGTGGTCCTGCAGCAACACTTAGCACCTTGAAGGTGCGAAGTGCATACCAAATAATGGGACCACTCTGGACAGGCTATTCAGGGTTGACTGTGCCGCCGCAACATTGTCGAAAAGCAAGACGATATCGTCCGCATAATCTAGGTCAACTAACCTTTCACCAGGCAGCAATTCAACGCCTACATCGTGAGATTCCGCAAGTGAACACTCCATGATAGAATCCACGGCGAAATTGAACGGAAATCAGACAACGCTGACGAACGCCACTTGTGGTCGGAAAGCTATCCAATAGACCACCGTAGACCCTGATGTTGCCTGTAGTGTTCGAGTATAGAGCACGAAGGATGTTCACATATTTCGTGGGACACTTTTCCGCGCAAGTATTTCAAACAGAAACAATCGATAGACTGAATCGAACGCACTCTTGAAATCGAGGAACACAGCTATTGTCGATCTGCAGTACGCGAGGCGGTGCTCTAGCACCTGCCAACAAGTGAATATATGGTCTATACAGCCACGTCCTGGGCGAAAACCGGCCTGCTCTTCCCTAATCCGAGATTGCCGTTCTGCAGTGAGGCGACGAACGATAATCGAGGCCAGTAATTTTGTCACAACTGGCGTTAGGCTAATACCCCTGTGGTTAGAACAGTCTGTGCGACTGCCCTTCTTGTATATTGCCACTATAATCGATTCGCTCCAATTAGCCGGGACGCTCTCCAGATAGGTTCGAATAGTGAGGTCAGTGCCCTGCAGGTGGGAGGGAGTCCGGGCCTGCGGCACGAAAACGATGAAGGCCTGTGATCGCGTTTCCGACGTCGGCCTCCAATAGAGGCTCTAAACTAACCGTCAATGGTTCGTCCTGCATCACCTGAGTAGGAAGAGATCCGGGAGCAGGGGGCCAGCTGAACTGATCTTGAAAGTGTTCCGCCTAACGAGCCATACGGCGCTCCTTATTGTGTATCAGCGCACCTGCGCTGTCTCCGATTGTGTCACTGACGCCTGGATTTCTGGGACCAGTGGCGCCGATTAGCTGGATAGGTATCGTGTCGGTAAGCTACCAGCCGACTACTAGGCAAAAAGAAAATTTGTTATGTTTTACGCCACGAAGTGAGATCGTAGATGGAGGAGGAGGCTAAAAGAGATGCAGCATGACAAAGAAGCTCACAGCAGGAAGGCCACTGAGGTCGGCTCCCTGCCATGTCAGCAAGTGTATCCAGACAAACGCGTTCATCGTCTTTTGGACCCAAACAAGGGAGCTGTGACGCTCCAACTCAGGCCAGCTCAGAAGTAAGGGCCTTCATTCCTCTCGACAAAACAATCGCTTGGTCACCCTCTTCATCCATCCACGTCCCCGGCGCGCAAACTACGCAGGTAGTGGAAGTCGGTGCGCTAGCACGCGCAACACGTGGCCCGGCCATCGGAGCCTGTGCGTGAAATAACGGTGCTGAACGGTTCAGTTCCTTTCTCTGTGCCGTAAGCAAGGTGTCAAACACGCTCGTTACTCACCCGGTGTTCCCACCAGATATGAGCCAAACTGCGAAGGCACCGATGGTCGAACGGAACTAGCCTCTTTATGTCCGCAGATCTTACGGGCCAGTTTCCCCACCGTACAGTAAAATCAAACGTACCGCTGCATTGTACATTCTACCATTCAGGGTGAGGGTAATGTCGCGCCGGCGCTATAAGTGGCGAAGGTTAGTAAAAGCGCTCCGAGCTTTTCCTATACGGTTTGTGATCTAGTTCCTGTCTAGGCCTGGGCAACCTGACAGTATCCTGCCCACGCAATACAATGAATTTCTCTTCAAACAAATTTCTGATGCTCTGGCCACCGCAGAGGATAATCAACGGTGCCCTATCTGCTGCATCGGGCAGGGTGGATAGGGGTTTGGATGCTACTGCTCAAGCCTTCCCGTCTTCTTATTCCCTCTCTTTCGCTTTTTAACCTTTATCGTCCCGTTCCGGCTTCACTTTTATCCCCCCTGTTTTCAACCCCCAAATTCTCGGCCCTCCCCCACCTTGCTTCAATAGTCGCTTGTCTTTTAGTTTCAACACGTGAACACGGAGCGTCATTCCTGCACTGTCAACAGGCAACTGTCCAAGCAAGCTGCCCATTCCAGTTCATCGGCTTCCATTTAGAGCCCTCGATCCTCCTTCAGATTGGCATGCCTCAATGTTCGCACATTGCTTCAGATCGGTCAACAGGCAACACTTGCCCAAACATTAGAGACCCTATCGATCGATATCTGCTGCTTATCGGAGACCCGCCTGCAAGACTCGAGTTCTGTACTCACTTTGCGATCCCCTTCAGATGACACTAGCAGCACTTCCTCATTGCGCCTATCCGGTGACGATGCAGCTTCGAGCACTGGCCAGGCTGGTGTTGGTATTGCCCTGAGTCCCCGGGCTGAAGCTACTCTGGTTGACTGGATTCCAATCAGTAGCCGGGTGTCTGCGGTCCGATTGGCTGGCTCGTTCAAAGCTTCGAAATTGCGTGGGACCAACAGGTGTCTATTCGTTATCGCTGCCTATGCACCGACAAACTGTAGCGATGACTCGGTAAAAGACGACTTCTATCATCAACTGAACGAGCTCCTTAGCCACAAAAGGAGCTCGGACACTGTAATGCTGGCTGAGGATCTGAACGCTCAAGTTGGAAAATTATCCACAGATGAGCTGCATCTGGGCGGCCAACATGGTATAGGCTCCCGTAATGATAACGGTGAGCGGTTACTTCATTTGTGTGAGGATGCTCGCTTATTTCTTGCGAGCACTAATTTCAGACACAGCACCCGTCGGAGGGTGACTTGGCGTCCACCATCCTCAAACCAGCTATGGATGCAAATTGCTCACATTGCGATAAGTTACCGCTGGAGAGGCTGCGTCCAGAACTGTCGCTCGATTTGGAGCACAGGTGTGGACACCGACCATGCACTTGTATGTGCTGACCTGCGGATGCGCTTTGGCGGACGCCCACGACGACGCTGTGAGCGCATTGACACCAGCCAACTGGCGAAGCCAGCTATTCCGAATGCGTATCGAAGTACGCTGTCATGCGAGTTGGATAAACGCTCACCGGATGCAATTGAAGCTCACTGGTCTCATATTCACCAGACCTTACTAGCAGCAGGCAAATCCTCATGTGGTATGTCTAATCGCCAACATGGACATTGGGTCTCTTCACAGTCTCTGGAACTTATCGATGCTCGCCGGCATATTCCGGCTGGAAGCGAACACAATGAAACTCGCAAAGAGCTCCGGGCAAACCTCCGTGCTAGCCTGAAGAGCTCTCGAATCCTGGTGATCTCATGGTGCATCAGAGATGGAAATGGCCGCTGCCATTGATAACCATAGTAAGCTATTTCAGGTGATACGGAAATAGGGCAGCAGAAGACCTGGTGTTAGTGAAACTACACATGACGAGAGCGGACAGCCTATCCACAACTTATCAAAACGCTTGCAACGTTGGGCTGAACATTTGAAAAGGCAATTTAATCGGCCAGAATTGTTAGATTTCTCGCCGGCCACTGATCGCCCCACTCCCTGGGCTGTCCCTTTGGATCCACCCTCTCGCTCAGAAGTCGAACGTGAAATCGAACTGTTGAAGTTAAATAAAGCCGCGGGACCTGATGATCTTCCTCCAGCCCTCTTCAA